GTTCAGAAGAAACTGTTTGTCGGTTGTGGTTCCCCAATTTAGTTATTTTTAACTAAAACTAAAGCATAAAAAACATTTTCATCACTTGAAATAAAATAAAACAGTAAGTAAATTCAATTTTCGAATTCAATTCAAATTTCTGATACTTACTAAGGCAATATTTATTACTTTATGTAATAAAATAACTGAAACTACAGCTAAATAAAAACTATAAACAGACATAAAACAAAAAAAATATTAATTTTAAAATTACAATGAAAACTCAAAATATCAACAGAAACTATCAGTGATACTAAAATAACAGTGTTGTGGACCATTTTATTTTGCCATTGGCTTTGTACTGAAGTACCAGTACTTTTGACATCCCTGCTTGAAAGGTAAAGTTTTGCTTTGAATTTGTTTTACAGGCAGCAGAGACGGTAAAGAGGCAGCCCAAGTCACAATGTCTGTCAGCGCTGGTCTCTCCCATCTTCAGAGAGGTAAAAGCGCCCGAAACACTCATCTTAAACTCTCACGTATATAATCAAACACCCTGACTGGAGATTCTCACTTCTCACTGTAACTCTTAATACTATCACTTTTTTTTATCACGGTAGCAGCAGATAAGGCAGCAGTAAAGTGTAATAAAATGTGATAAGCTCTATATGTTGTAGAGTTAAGTGTAAGTCTGTCTGCTCTCCAGCTGAAGGAGAAGAGGAGGGCATGTGGAGGAGGAATGGGTGCCATAGAGGAGCTGGAGAATGCTTTCAACCTGGCAGAAGAGTCCTGCCCTGGCATCTCTGACCTCCTGGTCACACACATGATGGAGAGAGTGTGCAGGTGAGTGGGTTTTTATGAAGAAAAAAAAAAGTACTGTGGTATGGATAGTATACCACTAAAGGCCGGGACACACCAAGCCGACTTCTAAGAACTAGCGGCGACGAAAGCCGACGGTGTTTTTGCGCTCACGTCGGACCAAAAAGCTGCGCTTGAACACACCGCACAGACTACAGCCGACGGCAAACTAACACGTGTGTTCTGCGCATGCATGAGAGGAATGAACTGTCTATATCAGTAGCTATCAATAGTATATATTCGTCATTCAAAAGGAGAAACCGAAACAAAGATCTACGAGATAAACGCAGATATACGAAACGTAAACAAAGCAGCGCTTGCTTACCATTTTGAATATCAGTAACGTTGATAACTTTAATAATTTTAAGCAGCTCATGTTATGAAAACATTTGCGTATTAGTATGATTGGGAAAGGTCACATAACATTTAAACAGCCTTCTGTCTTTACCGCCTTCATTTATGTGCTTGTTTTCATCACTTTCGCTTTAATTCTCGGGCACTGACTCGTTCGCTAAACTGAACAGCCAATCAGAGCTCTCACTCGCATCGGGACCATCGGGCAAACTGCCGCCGACGTGAGCCCGACGAGTGGAACACACCAAACAAACTAAACGCCGACCGTCGGCTTGGTGTGTCCCGGCCTTAAGTGCATTTGAATGTAATATTTAGATTCAAATAAAAATCTTTTGTATCAGGTTTGCGCTGAATGGCAACACCACGCCATCATCACGGTGAAGCCCCGCCTCTGCTGCTGCTGCTCCTCCCTCTTCCCGCCCCCAAAATCATCATCATCGCCCCGTCAGGACCACAATACGACTGCCCATCATTCACCCTCTCTTACCCCCAGAGATCTTTTAATTAGTTATGATTAAATATTTTTACAGTTTTCTTTATAGAATGGAAAGTATTTAAGAGAAAAAGCCATGTCATTGAGCGAACTGTGTTTACCTGTTAGATCCAAATCCTGTTATAAAGTGTTTATGGAAACATGGTGTTTGTGTGGTTATTGGTGTGATTTGTGGTATGTTTTGAGCTCTTCAAATCTTTGGTCACACTTTATTTTGGGGTGTCTTTGTTACAGTGTAATTATACATTGAATTACTGAGCACAACATTGACAGCGTGTACTTACTGTAGGGTTGGATTTGGGTTTGTTTTAGGGCTCGTTGCATGTAATTTACTGTTATTGCTAAAGTAGGTACATGCAATATGTAAAAAGGACATTGTAAAATAAAGTGTTACTAAATATTAAATGAAGTTAAAAAATACAATTTTAAAAGGTTGACCAAGAGCATAAACACTTATTTATAAATAATGTACTACACCCTTATATTTATTTATAACCAAATCCAATAATATACAATTGTTTTGTTGTATAATTAGTTACCCTTGTGGGAAAAAAACATGAATAATACAATAGTATTATTAGTTCCTGTTATCAGACACTTAAAACAAAAACGCTCAAATATTTCTTTAACGTAAACTTTATTTTAAATATGCTCATATGTCCTTTCTTAAGTACAAGTAATGTATACATTATATTCAAACTGTAGTGTGGATCAAAAGCTCTTCCACTCATCTTTTTTATTTTTAAGCTATTGCTTTTAAGTCAGTTCATGGTTCATTAATGTTGCCTAGCAGGATATAACTTGGACACTCACTATGATTTATATTAGTTTTGTAGCAGGCTGTCTTAACCTAACTTTGTCCAAGTTCTTTCTGCTAGATAATTCCTTAAATTAACTGCCTTCTTGCACTTAAAGCAAGTTTGCTAGGTAGATATTTTCTTTTGAATAGTTGTGTAATTGCCCAGTTCCTGCTAATTTTGTGGTCTTGGGGGATATGGGCCTTTTTTAACATATCAGGTGCAGAGTTTCTGTTATGCTCTTCTGTCCCACTTGGTGTCAGGATGGTGTATTGTTATTTCACTGCCTTGCCATTAGACATCTGTTTTCTCTTGTAGTAATGGCAGATCCAGAATGCCTGTGAGAAGCTCTCTTAAGTTATATCTATTCAGATCTTTCCACTAGACCAGGATTTCTCAACTAGGGTGCTGGAGCCCACTTCTAAGGGGACTGCAAGATGATTTAAAAGTATAGTTCACTTAAAATAAAAACATCTGTCATCACTGCCAACCAAACAGATGACAATAGCCATATTAAGAAAAAACTATATGGTATTCAGTCAATTGGCTACTGTCAACTATTTAAAAAAAAGGGAGGGTGAGAAAACTATGTTTCCATTTATATATACATGCAAAAATACAACTCCCAAATAACTTAGTTCACACACTGAAAAAAAAAGATACAAATTTTTTTTTAAGGTAAGTGGTTGCAAACAATTTATTTTAGCTACATTAAAAAAAAAATGTTGAAAGTCAACTAAATTTATTTAAACGTAGCTAAAATTGATTGCAACCCCTTAAATTTTTTTTTTTGTAAATTCAATTAATCATTTTCAGTGTGTTATGGATTGTGGATAATTAATATTTAAACACTAGCAATTTCAATTCTTCAAATATTGCGTTGGAGAGTAGAGGGGCCTTTAAGGGTCTTTGCCATGACATTATGTTGACATCGGTGTATGAATGCATTTATATCAGGACTGCCCTCTGTGTAGGGCTACTGTCCTACACCCGGGTGAAATCTTGGCTAAGAATGCATGAAGGCAGAGGACAAATATCAATTTCAACTATGAATGCCAGCAGATGCCCAGACCCCAAACACATGATCACACCATGTTGGTATGTATGGGCCCTGTGTGAAACCCACACTTCGATCATGCTTCTGTATGCATACGCAAGAAGTTTTTAGGTTTGAAAATTAATAATAATTCATAATTATGGTGTCTAACCCACCACAGTAAATTAATTAGTTTCACGATGGTGGTGAAACAACAAGTTTGGAAGTCACTACACGGGATTCCACATTCTTGTACTAACTTTGGGCTTACGGTTAACAAACGTAATAAAAAAATAAAGGGGCTGGTCACATTGCACTTTCCTTTCCATCACAAAAAGGCAACTTGCCACAAAATGTGTGTGAGGTGATTTCTTCACTATGGCCGACCTTCAATGCAAAATATCTTTTCTTAATCAGTATTTTTGTGGTTTACTAATAGAGATATCTAAACATCTCTAAAAAAAAAAATAGAAGCAAAACGGCCTACCTTTTTCTCTATGGCCTTCATCATTGTTGATTTCTTTATCATGTTATAATTTATGACCTCTAGCTGCCATCAAGAGATACTGTTTTGTACAAACTAAAAACAGGCACCCTTTTTTGACAAGTCCTTCCTGTTATAATCAACAGCAAAGTGAGAAATGAATAGCCAAAAAGAAAAGGGCAAACCCCAAAACTGGTTCAATACAAAATTTTATTACAAGATGACAGACAATAATGGTTTAATAGAAAGTTCTCAAGTGAAACATTAAAACTGGAATGTTTACTGCAGTTTTCATGACCAAATATGGAAAGCAAATTCAACTGTATAAAAGTTATATTTGCTTTTGCGTAACAGATAGAAACCCACATTTCAGATACATTTTAATTATTCATTATTAATGATGTGGAAATTAGATTCAACCACAGGAATAAGATAAAATATTTTAACCATAGATCCCAAAAGGAGGAGGTAAAACCTTGGCATGCGTCAAGGTTGAAGAGCACAACAGCATATTTCAATGTATCCGAATTTCACTCCACCAAGTAAATTTCACATCGCACTCATACCAGAAGAATGTCTGATAGTAAATACATGGCAGTATGCACTTAAGTACATATAAAAATCAGCTAAATGAGCTTTAACATTTGAGAACAACGTATTCTTCTTCATTAGACGGCATAGGGAATGAATCATGGGTCACAAAATTTTGAGGGGGGAAAAAGACTGATATCTTCTCACAATTGCGAGTTTATATCATGCAATTCTGAAAAAAAAATATAGAATTGCGAGTTTATATCACGCAATTATGACTTTAACTTGCAATTGCGAGTTTATATCATGCAATTCTGAGAAAAATAGTTAGAATTGTGAGTTTATATAGCGTAGTTCTGACTTTATTTCTCAGAATTGCGTGTTTATATCAGAATTGTGAGATAAAAAGTCGCAATTACCTTTTCAATTTTTTATTCAGTGGCGGAAACGGGCTTCCATAGGAATTAATTAGTGTTTTGTGCCCCCATATTTAAAATGCCTTGGCATTTTGTTTGACTTTTATTAATTCTTAATTTTACCCTGCTTCAATTTTTGTGGGCAGAAAATAAAATGAAAACACGAAAGGATTGTTCCTTCTTTATTGGCATTTCATGGTCACTGAATTGATCACACTATTGTGGCAATATTATTAAAGAAAACATCACATGCTGAAGACCAGCTCAGATGGCAGAACTGCTTATACTTAACGAGTCGGGTCACTATACTGTGACCACAGACTTGGTTGTGTTGATCTGGGGTTTTAATTTATGTTTGTAATGAGCTCTTACCGTGTTTCTCACAGGTGTGGGCTTTCTCCATCTCCGTCTCCCTGTTTCTGCATCTGCGCCTGCATCTTAGCAATCATCTCCTGCATTCGCTTCAGCTGAGAAACACACAAACAGTGTCACACTCAAACATTTGTGTTATTAGCATTCAGCTTGTGTTTGGTTTGAGAGATCATACCTCAGCCTCCTTCTCCTGCAAGATTATATCCTTGTCCATTTCCTCTGGCTCCGGAGCCTTCCTGCACGTATATATAGCAGGTATAAAGAGATGCACACACAGCTGTACTGAGCACTGATATGTAATAAACAGTCATTTGTGACACACACAAGCTTCACAATTACTTTCTCCTGTTGTCAAAACAAAACTGTCGATTGTTTAAAAAAATTTAACTCTAATGAAATGTCATGGAGCTTAATTGGTCTATTAATCAGAATTAAAAGCATGTAAAAAAAAAGCCCTCAAACGAATATAAATATTTTTTTTCTACATATATAGCCTACATAAATGCCAAGCATATTTTAGTGTAAAAATATTATTTCACAAAAAAATACTTAAGATATTCCTGTTCCGATGTCAGGAAAACAAAAGCAGACATAATTTAATAACACTATAAATCTGTTTATTTTTCTATTGCAAAAATATGCTTGGCATTTAAACCAAATATAGGAATGTATGAATCAATTTCTCAATTTTATCTTAATTTTGCAAGTACTCAATTAAATTCATATCAATATTTGCAGAGAAGTCCTCAAAATAAGATAATTATAACAAATATTATCACTATTATTATGACTTTAAAAAAATAAAAATAAAAATATATATAAAACATTTCTTTTTTTGCTAAACTATGTTCAGCATTCAAGATTAAACTGTTTCAATGATAGAAAAATAGAGGACATGAATTGTTCATTTGTGCCGATTTTGCAATAAATGAATAAATAAATACAATCATTCATTGACAGCTCTTAAAATTACACAGCATTTACATCAATTAGCAAAATAGTATTTGCTAAATTATGAAAACTGTGATTTAACAAACAACAGGACAAAAACTGTATTAGTAAACCACCAGCAGAGTGCTTTGCGTTGCAGAGTTTAGGGGCAAGACAAGAAGGACAAATCCTTGTTAATAGCACAAGCGTGTGATAAGCGGAGCAGAAAGTTACGGAGGATGTTGTATTTGCATGAGTGAGACTGAAACGGAGTCTGTGTGCAGTAAGAGGAGCAGAGCCAGTGTTAGCGTCAGGCTGAAGGATAGGTGGAGCTGTGACTGAGCTCCCAGCAGTACCTCCTCCTCCTATCCTCTGATGAACACAGATCCGACGGCTCGCTGATGAGTCAACACAGCACACCTTACAGCTGAAGCTTTAGTCTCTAGAGTGTATGGAACACAGTTTATCAACTGATTCAGCTTAAACCAGACAAAGCAATGCTGCTCTTCTCCTTTCATTTCTGCTATCAAATGACTATCTATATTTGTCTTCAGCAAAGTGAGAAGTAGACTATGTAAAAATGTGCTATTTTAATACATCCACTTAAGTCTTGCCAGGTTTGGGATATTCAAATATTCTGTGGCTACACTCACAAAGCTGTTTTTTTTTCATGGAGGTTGAGGGAGGAGGTGAAGAAAGACAAGCAGAGCAGTACGTACACAGGCGACAGAGGCAGAATATAACCATGGGAGGACAACCTGCCGCCCCGTTTGAGGCGCTCCGAGCGGAAGTTCTCGTAGTGAAGGTCCTGAGTAACTTCCTGCAGGTCCTGCATGTGGGTGCTGGATGGATGACAATAACCATCAATAGACAATAATGACAGAGACCGAGAAATAGGACATTATCTTAGAATGAAAATGAGGCTGAGAGGGACAGAGGTACAGTCCATTTAATATATTTGACTGTTTAAAAGTATTACAACTCATATTTTATGTTTTGTAGACTAAACTCAACTCAAATTTTCTTCAAGAATCAAGAATTTTAGAACATTGAATAGCAGATAACTTAAAATTACTTACATTAGCATGGTGCGAAGTTTGAGGAAGTCGTTGTGTTCTGGGTTTTCTACCTCCACCACACCCCATGGGTACAAACGCCCTCTCACTTTCTTCCCCTTAGCCTCAATCTGCTGGTTGGATCCCACTACGGCGAACGGTATGCTGGCCTACAGCAGAAAGATGAAGAGGAACTTTAAAGGGGTCCTATTATGCTCTTTTACAAAGTCTTGATTTTGTTTTGAAAAAGCATAATAGGACCCCTTTAAAAAGAAAGCGGCCTAGCTTGGATGCTTGGTACTATCTCCTAAAGAGCAGGAAACAGTAAGCATCAAGTGATCACACAAAATGACATCTTTCACCCTCATGTTGGTCCAAACCTGTCTGACTTGTTTCCCAATTCAGATTCAATTACAATTCCCAAAACCAGTCTGAATAATTCTCACTTCTACATTTATTTGATCACAAATGAAGTAAAAACAGCAATATTGTGAAATATCATGACAATTTAAATAACAATTTTTATATTTTTAAAAATGTATTTTATTCCTGTCATGGCAAAGCTGTTCAAAATTATTCTTTGATTACCACAATGTACTTTTGTAACATTAAAATGTTTTAATGTCACTTTTGATCATTTTTAATGCTTCCCTGCTAAATTATTTCAGTATTAATTTCTTTTAAAAAATCTTACTGACCCTAAACCTTTGAACAGTAATGTATGTTTATGGTGCTTTTGTGTTTTTTAGGAAGTGTTTAAAACACATGGCTTTAGAACAACATGAAGGTGTGTAAATGGTCATATTTTTACTTTGGCTGAACTGTCTCTTTAAATTATACGAGGAAAAAAAACACATACCTTGAGAATCCGGGTCTGCTCTTTGAAATCTTCATCCTCATCAGACTCGGCATCAGGGAGGTGATAGATCTTGATGCCATGCTCATCGATTTCATCCAGAATCTAGAGCCCGTAAAGAAATGCATATAGCCAACAAACCAAACATATGGATCAATCCATCTTTGGAAAGAAATCTGAATGGCTTACTCTGCGCTTGAGTCTCTCTCTCTCCCTCAGTGTCAGCGTATCTGCTTTAGCAATAACAGGAACGACATTCACTTTGTTGTGAATGGCCTTCATGAATTGGACATCTAGAGGCTTCAGCCTACACAATTGAAGCATAGGAAAATCAGCCATTTAAATCCAGAATAGAATGGTGTGAAGACTTAAACTCACACCTATGGCAGTGGAAGGTGTCAAAATATCTCTCAGTTGAGTAAAAAAAGAGCTCACCCGTGACCCAGAGGGGAAATGAAGTAGAAGCAGCAGTGCACACGGTTGTCCACAATGTGCCTGCGGTTGAGTCCACTCTCATCATGCAGGTAGCGCTCAAACTGGTCATCGATGTAGGCAATAATGGTGTTAAAACTGTACAAGAAAAGACAGAGCACATCATGAAACACTTGAGGGATTTAAAAACAACTGAAACATTCAAGGAGTTTTAACTGCCCCATTCCCTGTTTAGATCAGACTGAAATGATCAGGGTCTTTTTACAGATAAACTAGTATCTCTCGTCACTCGTTTGTAACACTGGTATCCTTCTGAAAGAATTAAAGCAATGTTCTCCTTATCGGAGTCAGTCTACCAGCTCTCAGACAACTTATATGTTAATTGTTTATGTATGCATATTTTGCCAAATAACTACCTGTATCTAAATGAAGATATTTTAAAATTGAATTTAAAAATTAATGCAAAAAATATTCTGAAACCAAGGATGCTGAAAAAGTGGACAAGCACTGTTGAGCTGTAAAACATGAGAGTAAAGGTAGCAAAACACAGAAAATGCACTAGGCCTTCCAATAAAAAGGCTGAAATGATTTTAACACACATGCTAGTGATATATTCTGTCGACTCTGGTACAAAACTGGGGCATTAAAATGTCAAGTTTCACTTGTATAAAACTTATGTGACAGAATACATTTCCTTTTTCAGACACGAGCGTTTCAGTATCCTCTCTTTGCTGTTTTAACGATCAAGTGGGTTAGGGAGCAGTCAGGAAGAGGTCCCACATGTTTCCGGTCTCACCACTTCCACTAGCAGAACAGCATTCCCAGAACTCAAAAAAAGAAACCCGCTTCCTTCATTCCTCCACTGCACTCTCTATTCTTCATGTCTCCAGTTACACCATTAAGTGTCTCTTTTCATAAAAAAAAGCCAACCAAAACTCTCTTAAAGAGAAAAAATAATTTACTCACTCTCATGCCATCACAGATGCATATAATTTTATTTAAATTAACACAAATGAAGATTTCTATTAAAGAAAATCCATCTCTGTGAATACACTACTGAACAAAAGATTGCAGGGCAGTACGAATTTTAAAAACTTTATTCAGCAAGGATGCATTAAATTAATCAAAAGTGAAAGTAAAGACATTGTAATGTCACAAAAGTTTTCTATTTCATATAAATGCCACTCTTTTGTATTTTGGGTAACACTTTGGTATAGGGACCATTTCTCACTTTTAACTAGTTGCTTGTTAGCATGCCTATTATTAACATATTGGTTGATTATTAATACTTATAAAGCACATATTCTGCATGACCATATTCTACATCCCTAATCCTACCCAATACCTAAACTTAATGACTACTTTATTAACTATTAATAACAGCAGGAAATTAGTAGTTTATTATTGTTTCTTGAGCACCCAATCAGCATAATGATTTCTGAAGGATCATGTGACGCTGAAGACTGCCGTAATGATGCTGTAAATTCAGTTTCCCATTACAGGAATGCCTTTTTTTTTTTAATAGGGCTATATCACAGTAGAAAACAACAATTATAAATTGTAATAATATTTCAAAATATTACTGGTTTTGCTATATTTTTGATCAAATAAACACAACCTCGGAAGAGCCTAAAAAACTTTTCAAAAACAAAAATATCTTCCCAACACCAAACTAGTGGTAATGTACATATAAATGCAAATGAATATACGCTAAAATGTTGAAGGTCGAAAAAGCACATCATGACTGTAATCAGTACAATCAATGGATGAATTCATGTCTTCTACAGCAAAACAATGTATGACTATAAGTGTGCGGAGCATTGTTAAAGGGGTCATATGATGCGATTTCAATTTTTCCTTTCTCTTTGAAATGTTACAAGCTCTTGGTGCATAAAAAAGATCTGTAAAGTTGCAAAGACTAAAGTCTCAAATCCAAAGAGATGTTCTTTATAAAAGTTAAGAGTCAACCACACCTACCTAAAACGGCTCGTTCTAACACGCCCCCACATACCTACGTCACGATGTGGGAAGATTTGCATAACGCCGCCCAAATGTTCACGCAAAGAAAGATGGCGTAACTTTTATTCTCGCTGTAGTACTGTTATTTGAAAGCGAAACTACTTTGTTTGGCCTTCCAAAAGAGGATGATATCCGCTTCGTCATGCCTGGAGCTGATCCGTGCTGGTCGCTGAGGAAATACATCAACTTCGCGCTGTGGATCGCCGGATCGGCTTTCACCGTGGACGAAGCGGAGTCCAGCCCGGGGTCGTCACATGTGGTTGCCGCAAGCCTCCTCCGTCGAATCCGCCGGCCGCGCCATTCTCAAGCCCACCGGCCTCTGCTCACTTTAGGCCGCCGTGTGTGACGTGGTGTGTTTCGTTGTGAACTTTGTTTGGCCTTCCAAAAGAGGACACGACTAGAAATCAGTGGTTAAGTTGTATTTACAACACTGTTCCAGAACACTTCAACCCAAATATTCAGATGTGTGCAGCGCATTTCATGGAGGACTGTTTCCTGATCCTGGAAGAGTAGACTACAATGCCGGCTGTTCTGACTCACAGACTGTAAGTACGTTTTTTTATTTAAAGGATTTGCCACTGATGATTCAAACGCGAGTTTTGGGCAGTGTAGAGTAGCGCTTGTTGTTTGTCATTTCTCCGATCATACATGCAGACATGGTTTTATGTTTACACGGCGCGATGCAACGCAACGTGTAAAAAGACAGTATAAGTCATTATAATCCGTAATTATGTCCCCACTGGATGCAACAAATGCCTTGTTTATAATGGGTTTTACTGGTTTTGTCTCGTCGCTCCGGCCGGGACAAGGCATCACAGTATGGT